TTTTTCCTGGTTTGGTTTGGTTGGAGTTTCAGCTCTTTCTTCCTTCCCTTTTGACTTTCTGTTCTTGGAGGTTTGGTTTTTTTTTTGTTAATACATTTTTGCAGCATCTTAGATTTACCAAACTCACTTCTTCTCCCCACCCCCATCCTGCTCCTTGTTAATAATTAGTGCTATTAATTTTGTCTGATAGTGCTCGTGACCTGTTTGCTGGTGTTTTGGTTTACAGTGGGTTTGGCTTGTAGGACAAATTTGTTCCATGGTGTGGTGCATTGTATCAGAGAAATTAAGATTTCTTTTTGCTTTTTGGTTTGTTGCATGGAGTATTTGTCACTTGCCCACAGCAACTTTAAAACTAAACTAGACAAGCTCAGGAAACACATTTGAGGGAAGACTACTCCCTCCTCAGCAAGGAGTATTTTCCCTTGAACTGGTGTATCATTTATGACAGTACATCATTTGGACAGAGATTCATGGCACATATGAGGGACCATTGTGCACCTCTGTACCTTCTGGTGAATTGTCCCAATGCTGACATTTATCCCAAAAGTAGTGCAAGGCTGAGCAGCTTTAATTCATTCATTTATTTTTAATCACCTGCTGGTATTCCAACTGTGGTCAATATTGCAGGTCAATATCAGACTGTCTGCTTAGTCAAAAATAAGACTTGAGTAAAGCTAGACACCCATTTTTGTCCTGAAAACAGGAACACAAATCCACATCTGTAAAGCGTCAACACAGAATACTCTTCTGTTTCAGCACTCCTTACATAACATTTCCCCAGCAGAGCACTCAGCAATGCTCGCAGCCAAGCATGAGCAAGGTTGGAAAGCATCAGTAGCTCCAACCCAAACATTGCCAGTGCTACTAACATCTTTATGATAGTTTAATATCTTCTATGAATGGGATGGGTAACCAGTTGTCATCACCAAGCAAGCTGCAATTCTAGGTAGAGAGGTCACAAAGAGATACAAGTAGAAACTCTGCATTTCTCTCATACAAGGCACTGCTGGTTGTTGATATTGCTGTGTTTTTGGAGGAGCACTGGAGAGAGTCTGAATTTTATGATCCCAGCTCAAAACCTCTTTGTTTTTGATTGGTGATATAATTACAAGCCAAGCTCATGTCTCAAGTGTAGAAGAATATTTTGAAATATCTCCTGTAAAGACAACTGAGATATAAATTGAGATGGGGACAGAGGGACATTGGATATGAAAACAATCCAAAAAATATAATAAGAAAACTAATGTCTCTTAAGAGCTGTAAAATTGGCTTTCATTCCAGCTGTCTTTGCAGAGTAAAACTTCCAACGCATTTGCGAATTCATGTTATTGCCTTAGCACATTGCATTTTTATTTCCAGCAAATGCTGAGTGTTTGTCAATTGTGAAGTTGTTTCTTAAATATTATTCTTGTTGATTTGAACAAAAAAAGATTACTTTTGACTGTAATTGTGTAGGTGATCACTCATCCCCAGTATTGTGTTAAGAGTCTGTGGTGTAGTCCTGTTCTTTTTACAGTAAATAATGAGCCTGCCTGAAGTGTGGTGGCTGTGTTTTAGTGTGGCCGTGTGAATCTGTAGAGTGGTTTGTAGCATGCCAACTATTGACTGTGTGCTCCTTGCCTAGCCATCCTCCATGTTGTGACTCTTTCTGTTTTTGTCCCTTTCTAGAAGCTGAGGAACTGTACCAGAAACGGGTGCTGACCATAACTGGCATTTGCATTGCTCTTCTAGTAGTTGGCATCATGTGTGTGGTGGCCTACTGCAAAACCAAGTAAACTTTTCTCTTCTATTTTATATATGTGGTTGTTGATCAGGACCTTCCCAGTTGACTCTAGCTTCTAATCCTCTGATCATAAGGTTCTATCCAGGTTTCTCCTGAGCTGAGCTGAAGAAAAAAACACGTGGCCAGGGTGTTATGGTCCAAGCCAGATGAGTGCTGGTCTCTATGTCCATCACAAATGTAAAAGTAAGACAGGTATCTGAAAGGTCACTTAGCCTTCAAATGTGACTTGAGCAAATTCACTGACTTGCAATTCTTTACCTATCACCCATTCCACCTGGTTTCCCCAGCTGAAAAGGAACAAACTCCAACACTGGAATCATGCTGCTCTCCAGCAGTAAATTTTACATTTCAGCCTAGTTTGTTTGTACTTGACACAAGATTAATGATGCTAGAAGTTACTATACACTAAAGGCCAAAATACTGAACATGAAAGCGCTCTCAATGCAAAACTAGGCACTTAAATGCATTCTGTGAGTCTCTAAATTACTGGGGGTGACTCTCAAACACACATGAGGCACCCTGGACCATAAATTACATGGAACATCAGCAGAATTTCTGCTGCCCAAACTTCTGGCTGCGCTTATAAATCTCCCCAACAAAACACAGAAAACCCTTATCATAAATATTCCACATTTATATAAATCTGATTTACTGTTGCAGGGCCTGATTGACAGTTGGGTTGTTGGTTTTTGCTGTAAGCCCAAGCAATAATGGATGTGTTAAAAGTGGGGGAGGAGAGAGATCATTTACGCTCCTCTGTGAGGGTCCAGCCACACACACACACAACTGCTCCCACCCACAACAGTGTGCCAGTGGTCAGTGGGAACAACTGAAACAATAATTTAAAAATCAGATCAAGCACTGCTTTTAGAAATGACAACTGCAAGCTAAGGCAGCTAAACAATTTATTTCCTGATCCAAAGTTCATTGAAATCAGCCAAGGCATTCCCATGAATTTCAACAAACATTTAGTCAGGGTCCTGAAGTATGGTTTTCTATATAAAGAGCTCCCAGAATTCATCAGGAGTCTGGATGCTTTGTTTGTTCCAGAGATCAGCAGTCGCTGCCAGTCAGAAGTTAAAATGTTTTCAAACACAAATGATGAGAGGGCCATGCCAGTTTATGGCCCCCCAAATGCAGCAGTGATGCCAGACTGCTATCTGTGAGGTAATTTCCATATACTCTTTTCTCCCATTAGGAATAAACCCAGAAACCAGGAGAACTCCTGGTATGGTGTTAGGAGAACACACTAAATAAAATGTAATGGCTTTTGATTTTGTTGGTTCTCCTTGCAAGAGATACTGATGGTCAATCACTTCAGACATTGAGTCTTAATTCAGAGGTACTTTATTTGCAAGTCTTTTACATTAAGGAAAAATCTTAGAATAAGTGAAGTACACATTACCTTTCCCATTATTCTTTCTTCTCAGTTCCATGGAATAATTTCTTTTTTAGTTAGTAGAAGACAAACTAAAAGAAGTTTTACTAGAAGACAAAGAACACACATTGACCAAGCAAATGCAAATACATAGGTCACTGAAGGTGGGAAGTAATGTGGTTTCCTAGGGATAGAGTCCCAGGCTATATGTGCCAGGATCTTGATCCTATAGGTGATGAGCTCAAACTCCTTCTAGAACTCACTTTCGCTACCATTCAGAGAATTCAGATTGTCCTCAGCTCCCAAGGTCTCATGAAGGAGAGCTGTGAAATCAAGTTAAACCCTTGCTTAAGTGTTGCTTCTCAACCCAGGCAGGTCATTGGGTAGTTGCTCAGATGTGTCCTGGCACTGCATTCTCCATCCACCTTAACCACTTATGTGTCCTAAGATGATGCCTGGTTTTCCTCAAAGTGAAAGTCCACGCAGATCAGGGAATGTATCTTTCTGAGACAGAAGCATTTCCAAGGCAGCCAACTCTGCTTGTGCTAGTTGTGTAGTAAGATATAAATTAAATGTTTTCCAGGCACATACACACAGAGAAAATGTGTAAAATAATGTGTCTCAAGTCATGTTTTCATTGTCTTTAAGCTTCCCTGGCTGTCAAGCTTCAAAACATTTATTTTTTTTCCTCACCTGTCTTTTTCATAAAGCTTGGAATAGTCTCCTTGGGTTCAAAACAGGACTGAAAATGGTTGTATCTTACACTGTCATATGCTGCCAACACTGTCCACACTTCTGCAAAAGACTTAGGCAATTGTGTGTATTGACTTTTACCACAGTCAAGGTCATATGCACTCCAGTGTGTTGAGCCTGAATCCTCCTTTCATTTCCCTGGATTCCATGGCAATATGGTGGAAGTTCTCCAGTATAATCAGACAAAACTGGAGAATACTGATAAATAAAGCCTGAAATTGAATAGTGCTTCATCAGGTTATTTAGTTTGGTGTTTTATTTAGTGTGTTCTTCATAGCCTTCACAGGGCCAGGTTTTACTGTGCTGTAAGTTTTGTTACTGACAGCTTGTAACAATCTCCTGATAAGTTCTTCTGAGGAGAGCTGGAAGGATTACAGAATCACAGAATCATTTAGGTTGCAAAAGACCTCTGAGATTAATGAAGTCCAACTTTTGACTTATCACCACTTTGTCAACTAGACCATAGCGCCAAGTACCACAGCCAGTCATTTCTTGAATACCTCCAGAGATGCTGACTCCACCACCTCTCTGAGCAGTCTATTCCAGTGCTTAACAACCCTTTCCATGAAGAGATTCTTCCTGATGTCCAGCCTGAACCACCCCTAGCACACCTTGAGGCCATTTCCTTTTGTCCTGTTGCTAGTTATCTGGGAGAAGAGGCTGCTTCCCATCTTGCTACAGTCTCATTTCAGGCAGTTGTAGAGAGTGATAAGGTCACCTTGAGCCTCCTTTTCTCCAGACTAAACAACCCCAGTTACCCCAGCCACTCCTTATATGACTTATATATGATCAGCAACTGGGAAAAGAGCAGCTGTGGACATGGCACAGTAGAAGCATCAAAGTCAGCCAGAGACCATGCCATTAGTACGCGTGGTTGATAGATAGTTCTACAGTGCATTAGGAGCCATGGCATCCACTTGGTAATCATTAGGTTCCAGGGTTAATCTGATGTTACTGAAATGAAACCTTCCAGAGATGCCAGGAAGTCTGAAGGCTCAGGGATACCTCACATACTCACTTACTTGGATTTCTGAGGCTCCCTCTGCACCCTTCACTTCTTCATCACATTTGTGTATTTGAAGTGCACTGTTGAGGTAGGGGATGAATCTAACAAAAAAAGTGTCTAACTGCCACATCACAAAGATCATTTTCCGGTGTCTTCAAGCAAGCCCTGAGGCAGGACCACCTCAGCTCCCTGTGGAGAACAGAGAGCTGTTACCCGGTGGGCTGTCAGAATCCTTGCTTTGGGTGTTCTGAGTCTGTCAAGGTGATTGAGTTAAAACCTCTCCCTCCTCCCTTCTGAGTGCAGAAAAATAGCTTCTCCTGAGATGGAGTGTGGCTAAGAAATGGCTTCCCTTTTCCTCGCACTTTTTCCCATCCCTCTGTGGCCTTCTGACTCCTGGAAGGGTTCCCAAACGTCCTTTCCCCTCTGCAGGTCCCCACAGCTCCAGCTGCAATTAGACCCGTGGTCTTCAGAGTTACTTTGAGCTCTTGCAGCAATGGGGAAAATGCTGGCAAAAAAAGTGATGTTATATTATTATCATCAACATCAATATGCTGAAAGGTGCAGCTGCTTTCCCGTTGTCTATTAAAATAATTTCCATGTTTCATGCACAGGAAGCAAAGGAAAAAGTTGCATGACCGCCTTCGGCAGAGCCTGCGCTCGGAAAGGAACAATGTGATGAACATGGCCAACGGGCCGCACCACCCCAACCCACCACCAGATAACGTCCAGCTGGTGAATGTAGGTTTCACTGCCCACATTTCAACCTAGGCTGCAAGTGCCACAGCAAAGCTCACCCCACAGCTTTTAAACTTCTACCTGCTGCAGGCTGGTGACTGATTTCTCTTGGCTTTCTCCACCCAGAAACAATTGCTACTGCTAACTTCTGCCATCTTCTCCATTAGAGAATAGTATTTTTGGTGTATCTCGTGGTAAAGGCAGGATTGCCTTTCCAGGTCTCTATCTATTAGGTTTTCTCATTCCCTTGTTAAATACATATGTTGTTTATAGCTTAATTGGGATGCAGACCTTTGCTACTTTCTTCATTCGTTTCCTCCTACTTTAAGTCTAGATGGGGTATGTATGCAGAGGTGTACATGAACGTGCTCAAGTGTGTCAGTATGGTTTCTGCATGTATTGAAGTGACAAAATTTGTGCTTTGGCACATGTGAAAGACTGCAGCCTGGGGAGGAGAGATTGGAAATTATGTCTACAGATGTGTTGTGAATTAGTTTGTAAACCTGAGGTTTGTCTGGGTTTTTTCAGCAGTATGTTTCGAAAAATGTAATCTCCAGCGAAGAAAAAAGCACGCCCTCTTTTTCAAAAAGCCACTACACCTCAACAACACATCACTCCGTGACTGTCACCCAGACACCTAGCCACAGGTACTGGAGGGGGAAGGCAAATGGCACCTGTAATATCTGATCTGTTGCTATTGAAAAATGAAAAGATGTGTAAAACAACAAACCGGGGGAAATCTCAGCTCCCTTTGTAGTGTTTTCATTTTAAGACTAACAATATTTGATGTCATATCACCTAATTATCTTTCCAGGAATTTACAAAGAGCTTTATTGACTGAATGGCATTCAGTATATGCAAATTGCTAAATCAGTGACAGTTCTGGTGACTGGAAAGGCCTCCTTCCCTCTCCTTTTATTCATACATGCAAAATCATCTTGATGCATGTGGATTCATACAATTCACAAAACTCTGCAGCCACAATTACCAACCCAAAGGTTATGCTGTACATCCCAAGTGGCAACAGAGCCTTTCTTTCCCCTAGCTAAACTTCTGCTCATCTCCATTTGCCACCAAAGCACACTCTCATACTTCCCCTCTTCTCTTTTCCTGGTTGCTGCTCTCCAGCTGGAGTAATGGCCACACTGAAAGCATCCTCTCTGAAAGTCATTCAGTGCTCGTCAGCTCCTCCATGGAGAACAGCAGGCACGCCAGCCCAGCAGGACCCCGGGGCCGCCTCAATGGCATTGGTGGGCCACGGGAAGGGAACAGCTTCCTCCGGCATGCGAGAGAGACTCCTGACTCCTACCGAGACTCCCCTCACAGTGAAAGGTAGGACACACCACCTCATTGCTTTCAGCTGGCAAGGCTTGGTGTTCACAGATGGTTTCAAAGCTTGGGAGCCCAGGACAAAACCCGATAGTGCAGCTGTTCATGTACAGCATACATCTCTTCACTTGTAAAGGTGGAGAGCTTGGTAGAAGTTTAAAATACCAAAATAATTTCTTCCCTTCTTGCTTCTGCTGGATTTATTCCTATTAGCCAGCAGTTCACACTTGTAAAAGCTCCATTTAAGTAATTTGTCAGAAATTTCCATTGTAAAGTAAAAGCAAACGTGCCTAATTATCAGTTACTTAAAAGATGCAAGTGAGAAAACTGAGGGATTTTGTGGGAGAAAGGAATGTCTTGATCCATAAGAGGAAGGCACTAAAGACTCCTAAACAGTATATAAATTGTGCCATCACCTACTTTCTGGAGGATTCCAGCTCCTGAACCCTCTATCTTCTTTAAAAATTCTCTTTGACCTTTTATTAAATAAAAACAAGGAACACAAAATGCAATCCAGAAGGACGCAAGTCATTATTAAATCAGAAGTAGTTAGAAATAAAGCTGGCCAGGAGTTTTCCAACAAAGTAATTTTTTTCTCTGGGAGGGTTGGTTCATCAGTTCCTAAGGTCTGCCTTGAAGTGCATCAGTTGCAAGAAAACTTCTACTGTAAAAATTCTTCTCAGGTTTAGTCTAGCATTATACCTCAAGAGCATGAGATGACCCCAGAATAGCAGAAGAAAGTCTGAGAAGAAACCAGACATATAAAGAGAGCTTTTGCTCCCAAGAATCATAGGCAGAAGAAAGGGAAAACAAAGGATTACTGGACCAATTCTCCAAGCACTTCAAAATCACACCCTGTTGAAAATGTGGTCGTTGATCTTGTGGGATGTCCATAATATCAAAAATGCAGCCAGGCAATCCCCAAGGAGACTGACTTTTGTAGGAGACAAAAGTGCGTTTTCCAGAAAAATGAATTTGCAAGTACAGCAAAAGCTGTTGCTGTGGTACTCCCTGTGCCACACAAACAACTGCTTAGCAGCAGGAAGTGGTCCATCTGAGTACAGACCCTGAGTATAGGGCCACTAAGGATAGTAAACTGGCTCTCTTCTTATATCTGTTATTTACCATGGAATATAAGTTATGTCACTCACATGTCATTAACAGCCATGGCCCCAATCCAGCAGAGCACTTTGACAAGATTAACTTTTAATCGTGCAAGTAGCCCCATTGAAATCAGCAAGATTACTCACACGGGTAGAGCTCAGCATGTTCTTAAGTGCTTTGCTGGATCAGGACCTGTAGCAGTAAATACCACATTGTCTCCTGCCTGGGAACCATACAGGATGCACAGCCACATGCCTGCAAAGGGCAAGTATTACTGCTTAGTATATTTGGACATCTGCATATGAGAAGTGAAGATCATTCATGCTGTCTACTTGGATTGCCTGGGACACGAGAATATCGTTCTGATTTGAACTGTTTAGATATTTCTTTTTCAGAGGTGGGGGAAGAAGCATATGCCTTTCTGTTTTGCTGAGAAGAAAGAAGGCATTTCATCAATTATTGTTTCTTGAGGGGTATGCTAAAGGTGAAAAGCAGCAACATGTGATAATTCACCAGGAATTCATGGCCTAGTCTATGTCTGAAGTGACAACAAAACTGGAACACAAGAGGTGATAGTTCCCTGGGCATTAAGTTCTATTTTTAGCAAGCAAGGAATACATGGCCAATTATTCCTAAAATGGATTGCATGTATGTGTGTTTATAAGGGGGGAAATGAGTTATTTGCAACTAAAAACTACTCTGAAACATAAAGAAATGTAGGAGCTGACAAATTACTTCCTGAAGCCATCAGATACTGCTGTGCTATGAATTGGTAGATCAAGGCTGTGCTCCCTCCACCAGATACAAATGAAATAGAATAGACATTTTGGGAGGTTCTTTTGCGTTTCCCCATCTGTTTGTTGTATCCCATGCCCTGCCACCCATTTAGACAAGCAGAGGACCCAAGCAGTTTATATATTGGATGTCCTTAGCTGTCTTACAGGAGAGAAGATCAAAAAAACACTATCGCTGCACACAAGGCTGGACTAGAGGATGAAGTTGGCAGCATATAACTAGTTAATGCTTGTTGGATGGCTATGAATACACTCTGATCCCCTTTCACTGAGCCAGCATAGTTTACCTCTTGTTGGCCATGAAGATAGACATATCAATCACCTTTTAACCTTCCTTTCAGAATGGACTAGAGCTGCACAAGTTCATCTTCTGTGCCTCAGATTGCAGATAGCAGCTAGTTAGCACTGCCCTGTTATGGTGTGGGGGAATACACCAGAAATGTGTGAACACATAACACTCCAGTATGAGTAACTTGACACTGCTGGAAGAATGCACAGTACACTGAACACATTCAACTAACTTAATGCATTAACAGAACCAGTTTCACTAAAATCCAGTATGCCATGAAGATGTGTATCCAACACTGCACCAGCTGGGGAAGTAGAAAGGCTTCAGTTTTTCAGACAATGCCTATTTAAAAATGTGAAGGGGATTAAAAGCTCACTCATGGAAGGAGAAAGAATGACTTAGTTCATCCAATGCACAGACGTATTAATTGCCCTTTGCTCAACTAACTTGATTAATTCTCATGCATAACTCCAGTTTTGTTTTTCTTTCTCCTGTTCCTCAGCTGATGTAAATCAATGTGCCTCTAGTGAAATCAATTTACTCTACTACACATTCAGTTCAGAATCTGCCCCATTTTTTCTTTTTTCTAGTAACTCTGTTTTAATCAAGTCTAATATGTGCAACTGAGTCATAGATTGGATAGTAAAGCTGGATTCAAATTTATTTTGGTAATTTCAGGCTCAGATAAGTCACTAACAGAAAACTAAATCACTCATCAGTCATAGACATAGTTTTTCTCAACGGGCTTGTGTATGAGATGGAGCTTAGAAAGATTTTAACTTTGGACACAGATGAAATTCAGGCAGGTGAGTTCAGGATATGAATAAAAGCAAAGCCAAACTATGTAAAATGTCATGCTGGGCACTGTGCCTTTGATGGAGAAGTTTCAGGCAGATCCTCCCCTGGCATGAAACCACATGACTTCATAGCATCTCTACCAGCCTGGGTAACTAGCCCCCAAGGAGTGGAGCAGCACAAAGCTGCTGGGATGGTGCTGCAGCTACTTCTCTGACTACCCCCAGTGATTGAAATTAGCAGAATATGGCTCTAGATTTTATCCAAACATTGCTTTCCTTCTTAGCCTGAAACAGTGGTTGCCAGAAGAGGGTGAAATCCCAAGAAGACTGTCCCTTGGTTCCCTTCCTTTCTCTCCTCCTGTCTATTCACACACACACCAGATTCTGGTCAAATCCTTTCAGAAGTGCAGCAGCCATTTCCCTTTTGAGAAAATACTTGCAAATGTGTTTTGTTTCTGGCAGCCCCTCAGTCTCTGAATCCCACTCCTGGATTCATTCCAAAATGTTATTCTGCCAAATGATTTACAGCATCTCCATGGCTCATCTGAGGCAGACAGATCTGGGGGCTTTGCTGTGGTCCTCCTGCTCTCAATTGTTTTTGCCCAGAGTCCCAGAAGTCAGCAATTTATAGAATTAATAGCAACAGCAAAGTTTCTCTGGTAGCTGTGCATGAGGATGCTGGGGATCTTAAAGGATCCCTGCCTTTTCTCTCCAAGTTCTTGTGAGCTGTTGTGTTCACAGGTCACCACTGCTCCTGTGCTCGCAACCTTTTCCCATCTCTTTTCTTCAGGTATGTCTCAGCTATGACCACACCAGCTCGCATGTCACCCGTTGATTTTCACACTCCAACTTCTCCCAAGTCCCACCCCTCCACGATGTCACCACCGGCTTCCAGCTTGACTGTCTCCATCCCTTCAGAAAACATAGAAGAGGAGCGACCACTCCTCCTGGTGACCCCGCTGCAGATACGTGAGAAGTATGACCACCACCTTCAGCAATTCAACTCCTTTCACCACAATGTCACCCACGAGAGCAACAGCCTGCCACCGAGTTCTGCGAATAGGTGAGGACGAGGAGGATGAGACCACGCAGGAGTACGAACCAGCACAGGAGCCTCCAAAGAAACTCACCAACAGCCGGAGGGTCAAAAGAACAAAGCCCAATGGCCACATTTCCAGCAGGGTGGAAGTGGACTCCGACACAAGCTCTGAGAGCAGCAGCTCTGAGACCGAAACCGAAGATGAAAGAATAGGCGAGGATACACCGTTCCTGAGCATACCGAACCCTGGGGCGACCAGTCTGGAGCCGGCCGCTGCCTTCCGGCTGGCTGAAAGCAGGACTAACCCGGCAAATCGCTTCTCCACACCAGAAGAGTTGCAAGCAAGGTTGTCCAGTGTGATCGCTAACCAAGACCCTATTGCTGTATAAAACATAAAACACATAGATTCACATGTAAAACTTTATTTTATATAATGAAGTATTCCACCTTTAAATTAAACAATTTATTTTATTTTAGCAATTCCGCTGATAGAAAACAGGAGA